TCAAGCTGAAGATGAGGCCAAAGTTTGTCAACTCTGTTCTCTCTCCTGAGCTCCAGTGTGAGCTCTCTGTTCAGCCAGGCTGGTCTTCTCCACCAGCTCATTTTTCAACACACGGGGATGGCCTGTTTCTGCACCTTGGGCACTGCCAGGGAGGGGGCACCCACAGCTTCTCTGGGCAACCTGGGCCAGCGCCTCATCACCTCAGAGTAATGAATTTCTTCCTAGTGTCCAGTCTAAATCTCCCCTCTTCCAGTTTGAAGCCATTGTCTTTGTCCCATTACTCCAGCCCTTGTCAAAAGTCCCTCCCCATCTTTCCTGTACCCCTTTCAGGTCCTGGAAGGTCACTGTAAGGGCCCTCCTAGAGCCTTCTCTTCTCCAGGCTGAACAACCCCCGCCCTCTCAGCTGTCCCCATAGCAGAGCTGCTCCACCACCTTAGCATCTTCAAGACGACCAAGAAGGCCGACTATCACACAGCAGAAACTCTACAAAACCCCTGAAAATCATCACACAGAACATACTTGCTTTACAGAGTAAAACAGTGAAGGGGGGAAGGTCTGCAAGGTTTTTTTTTCTTATATTAACAGAAGGCTATTGCTCTGTGACTCTGAGACCAGGAAATGCAGATCCTGCCTCTCCTGAGCGGAATGGACACGCTGCAGCCCTGACCCAGCTCCTGGATGGCAGAGCAACATTTATCCAAAGTGCTCCAAAAATTTCATCTAGAAACCTTCATATGCTGAATGCTAGCAGGTAGCTCATGTGCACCCTTAACGAAGAAACTCAGGCTGCAGACAGTACTAGCTAAAATGATATCAAAGAAGAGGAAATTAAAAACAAGACTTAAACTATTCACTTGAAGAGCGATGATCACTGAACTTCTGCTTCACAAATTATGCAGTGCTATTTCTTCAAATTGACTTAAATCTTTTAATTTACTCTTAAATTTATGTAGAAAAGTACATTTATAACAACTACTTTAAGTGGAAGGACTGGATTTGACAGCTACATTTCACAGGGAGATTCAAATAAATAGCAAGATCATTCCTGACTGTTTCGAACTGAGGAATAATCCACAGTTGTGAAGGAAAGGGTACAGAGGAGGAAATCAGAGCCTGAAGATAAGAGTGTCAGAAAAGGACAATATGTTTATGCATTAATGGGGATCAAAATGACTACCAGCATCTGGAAACAGCAAGAGACTATCTTACAGAGTGAAAAAAGCCATCACAAGTTACCTCTCTCCTTCAAAATAACAAAGCAGACAAAGACAAGCTCTTTTCAGACTTCTGTGTATGTAGAACTTCAACACAGGAGATGCAAACTGGTTCAAATACTGCTAAGTATCGCACTAACAAGAAACAGTACTTCACTTATCACTTAATACGAGTTCCTACAGAAAAGAATCAGTCAAATGTCCAGATCTTCCTGTGTTCAAAGTATATATACATCTGGCACTCCAAAAGTTACTGGTCTCGGATTTAATTTAAGCACCTTCATTACACAGTGTCCTTTACTACAAAACAGCCAAAGATACATTCATAACCCTAGAACTATTTTTATAATTAGCATATTTTAAAGCATTATGTCGGACAGGGGCACCTAAAGCCGTTTTTTCTCTTAGACACGCAGTCTGCGTTAGTAACAGCAAACAGCTCCAGCGTCACTGCCCGTACGTAATGCAGCAACTTGTTTTACAGGTCATTTATTTAAATGCTTTCAGTTTTACAAAATACTTTAGAAAAAAAAAGAAAAGAGGGAATTTGCACTTCTGCTTCTCATTCTCGAAACGTGCTACGTCATGAGATACCTACGCTCCCACCCCTCTGCCTGCAAAGGAACCTCTGGGCTTTAGGGATCGCATCCCCACCAGCCCCAAGTCTGAACGTACGTCGTAGCAGCACCTCTCACCTCCACCGCACGGCCTCCGAGCACCTCCAGATTCCTCGCTTACAGCTGCCTCAGCCTCACACCACCCCTGTGAGGTAGGTACAGTAATATCCCCAATTGACAGAACCAAGACTTTTGTGTGTGCGGCACAATCACACACCAAGTGTTCACTGACCAGCAAGAGCAGTCCCCGCAGCCTTGAAGAAAGCGCTGTCTTGTGTTTCCGCAGACATCCAGCGAGCGGGGCGGCCACGCCGGCGCTCTACTCCGGGCCAGGGAAGGTTAGAGCAAACTGCTGGGCAGATTGCTGCTCTGCCACCTCAGGCAGGTGGTCTTGGAGTGCTTGTACAGGTGGCTGGACTGGCTGAAC